GCCAGTGGCAATAAAGGGGGGATAAGAAGTGATTACTCTGAGTCTGTGTATTAAGAGACTGGGTTTCGGAACCCCTAAATGTTCTTGGCCACATAGGCACTGGTCCTGTCTCCCTAGAGATTTAATTTCTGTCACCCTTGGATGTATTCCTGGAGAAACATTTACATAGTAATATGTGCTGTACCACTTAAAATTGTTAATTGGAGATTGAATTACTTGTCAGCTTTTAAAAATGTAGTCCTCTCAGGTCAGGCAGGAGGGTGTTAGCAGCATGCACAGATGAGCTATTGCATTTTTTTCTTCTGGGCCTCTTTTCTCTCCTCCTCCCTTTTCCTCTCTCATCCTTCCTTCTCTCTTTTGTCCCTATTTTACCACTTTTTCACTACTCCCACTCATTCTTTCTGGTACCTACCTCTCTTTCTGCCTTATCCAAACCTTTGTCAATAACCTGACAGATCCCAGGGTGGCTTTAATATCTAGAATCATGGATGAAGTTCAGTGATGACAATTGCTCAGGAAATTTACGAAAACCCCTCCTTAGATGCTCTTGAGAATGGAAATATCCTAATGAGAAGGAGGAATGCAGCAAGGAGCCAGCTTGTGTAGCTTAATTTTCAGATGCAGGAGGAATTTCGTACTCCCTGCTTTTTTAAATAAAAGATTGCCCCGACCCACCAAGGATTGTTTAACATGGGAAAGATTGGATAAAGAGGGGAAAATGGTGGTAGATTTCATTTTTATTCCATCGATATGCATCATTATTTTTCACATCTTCAACACATGATTGCAAATATTTGCCTATAAGTCTGAGGGTCCCCAACATAATGTGTATATCAGGACAAAAGCAATTTTTTAAAACATCAAGCTAAGTTGCCTCTGTGAAACTTGGAAATCTCAATGCCTGTGCTGACAAATATCCTGACAAGTAAATACTATACTCATTCTGTATTACATAGTGATTTCATTTGCACAAAACCTCACAATGCTCTGCCACTTCAGTCAAACGTCGGGAGCACTGGGGAAAGGAAGAACGTGTTTATCTTGATCTCCAAAAAGGGATTTAAGGCAGAGAGCAGGCGGTATATTAGACTGTTTTCATTGCCTGTCAGCTATGGTAAACCTGAGCTGTCTGCAGTGTCTCTAGATAAGGAGCAAGAGCAGCAGAGGCCTCAGTATGTATGTATGACTGCATTTCATTTGTACTTCTTATGTAGCTCAAAATTTCTATAGGCTATGTAGCATCTTTGGTGGAGCCTTTAACAATTGTGTCTCTGCTAATCACCGGCTTTTATGCAGTGCCCTTAATTCTCAGGTCTGCCAGCCACAATGAATGAAGTGCCGGACGAGGCTTTAGTTTATACTGAGGAGTCTATGAAATTCCTCCTTCTTCTCATCCTCAGCCCTTACTCAGGTTTGTCGTTCTGGGCAACTCCACAGGGGACTCTGAGATGGTATCTGTTCCAAATATTTCATGGTACTGCTTCTCCACTTAGTCCTGGGGAGCCGCACAGTGGGGCCTCGGGAAAGTCACCTCTGTTCCAGTGGCTCCCGTGTTCAAACGGTTATTGGTACTTGTCAGGCACATAAATTAAAAGTTTGTATCGTGCTGTAGAAAATGTAAGAGGAATAATTTTGGAAATGGAACATAGCAAGCAACTTTTTTATAGAAATGCGTGTGTCGGAAGTTGAAAAAGCTGATGAATGAAGCTCTTCTTCATGAAAATATTATGGTCATGAGAGCTGTTTACCCCAGATTTTGCTGTAGAATATTGGTGGGGCAACATATGGAGGAATACAATAGTGGTTCCATGTGGGTTCTTTCCTTTGTCTTCCTAGATGCTAATCAGGGTTCGCGTAACTGTTCCAGCATGGTTATTTCAGAGTTAGGCAGAATGGACTTTGTCCTCGCCCAGATTCTGCTCCTTTGGTTGGGGCTTTTGTTGTGAAGTATTCTAAAATCATTAAAACCACTTGAGTCGGCAACGACTCCTATAAATCAGGAGCTATTGTGTGCGCCCCCCCGTTCTACTGGCGCATGCTCCAAACATGCGGCCATTGAGGATGAACTGGAGGGTACTGCTTTCTGTCCACTGCCTGTTAAGTAGCTATGATTGTCAGCATTGGTTTGTGAGTATGGAGGCAGGTTTCTTTTCTGTGTGTCCTTCCCCTCCCGAACCTCCACCTCCTAAGATAAGGCTTTTCAGAGAGAGCCATTTGGATACTGTGTTAGTCTGTCTCTTTAATTGCCAAATTAAATGAGTCTTCTCACATGACAAACGTTTCTTTAGCCCAGAAATAACGTTCTTGGTTGTGGTGAGCCCTTGTTAGGTTTCTTCTGAATCCAGAGGAGAAGAAATGTAGAAATACTGCTGCCTTTTCAGAACAATACCTAAGTATCAGAACCTGAGATTCCACTTGTAAAGGGAAGACGTACCAAGTTATTAAACTCTTGGTCCTTCCAAGTTTGTCTCCCATTAGTTTGTAAAAATATGAGGTGGAATGGGCAAGTGGCAGAGCCTGTGCGAGTAGCCCAGTTCTTGATGCCCTCTTCTTCTTTAAAAGGAGGGCAAAGACATCTAAGGAAGATGTATTTAATCAGCTAAGCAGCTCTTGGTCCACTTTGGTACCTTTACTGGTTCTTCATCGGTCCGTTACTCATTTTGGAGAGGTGTGAGATTCTAAGTGGTTGGACATTATCAAGCACTAGAGACGGTGTTGCGTAGGAAAGAAAACAGTGTTTCTGAGTAGACAATGGCCCAGCTCTCTCTTCAGAGGCAGCGAATTCCTGGTTCCTGACATAGATTGTGAATATCGGATATTCAGGGTCAGCACAGTGTCTCCTTTTGATTCCTTTTCCCCCTTTCCAATTTTATTTTAATAATTAAAAATACTGCTGATCACACTGAATGACTTCTGGCAGAGAGGCAGTCGGTCCCAGAAGGACCAGTTGTGGGCCATCAGGTTTATGACATCCATAAAACCAGAGCCAGATCAGAACACGGCCTCCCTGCCTGAGTGACAGGGCTTCTGCCCCCACCAGGGTCCCCCATCAGCTGATTGCTTTGGGTATGTGTTTTCGTTTGTTTTTTTTGTTGTTGTTGTTGTTCTGTTTTGTTTCCTGATACATGTGCAAGTGTGCATGTGTGCACACATTTAAAGATATAAATGAAACAGGTATGTAATGCCCTCTGCCTGTTAGAAAGACTAAAGCCATAAAAATAACAAACGGCGTGTATTTGCTAGAATGTCAAAGTTATGAGTTTATTTTGTAATGATGTGCTCCTGCCTTCATGGGGTAAACTGGCCGTGGCGAAGGTGTTATTAGTAATATGGACGCAGTGGAGCAGAAAGCCGAGTGACCGAGAGATCAGTGTATCAGTCAGAGAGAGGGCAAATGGAAAGAGACAGCAGGAGAATGAGAAAAGAGCCACAGTGCCTGGGCTGAGATTAAAGACAGACTGTGAGGAGGATGGGGGCCCAGTGGTCAGAGATGGGCTCCCCAGTTCCTGGGGCGCCTTCAAAGGAGCTGCCAGCAGGGTGCTCCACTCAGGGCTGCCTGCGAAGGCTTGTTCTCTGCACTTCCACACCAAGGAAAGCAGTCATCGGAGGGGGATTCTGCTTTCCATATTCTTTTCAAAAGAGTCTCTTCCGTCCTTCCTAGCTGAAGCGAAAGGGAACCAAGGCCAGCCGGGTCACACTGAGGTGATTGCTTTGGTCACCAACTTCCTCAGCCTTTGCAGGGTCTTGATGTAGGGGCTGAGCCAGCATGCAGGGGACCCTCTCAAAGCTCTGCGCAAGAAGGGGCAAAATGGGAATATATAGGTAGAATGTGCCAGTCTTTCATTTATTAGGTTCTCCCCAGAGACTGGAGAAATGAATAAAAGTTAGTAAGGAAGAAATTTTGTGTTGTAGTTATTTTCTAAAGGAGGAGGGGAGAGAAAAAAGGGAAGGTAAAATACAGTAAGCGCTCTACAACTGTTTAGAGCTCTCCAGGGCTACCCCAGATGACTGGCAATTACCACACACTCAGCAGTTTGCAATAGTCAGTGATCAGGCTGCTCAGCTTCCATCCGCTGGGTCAGAAAACCTTCCTTCCTGAAAGAAATTATTAACCAATCTTCAGGACAAAAAGAAACCCTACAATTTCCCAGGTCCAAGAATAGTTTTTCTTCCTTTTTTCTCCTTTACAGGAAACTTTGTGGTTTCCAGTTGCAAGTGCTCTTGGACCTCAAAAGGGTTAAATTCCTCCAGTGACACCCGGGGGATTGAGGCCTTGGATTCCCTGGAAGCTTCAGAGGGAGGAGAGGAGGGCTGGGCTTGGGTGTAAATCACCGCCTTGCACCCAGCACACAAAGAAGACTGTGGACTCAGGGGTTCCTGTGGGTATCATGAGTTGTTTTGCAATTCTGCCAGCCTTAGGGCTTGTGGGCGGGGGCCCAGCTTTAAAAACCAAATATAAGGGAAAAAGTAATCCTTAAAAAAAAAAAAAAAAGAGAAACCCAAAGTTCACAGCATTTCTGTAACTGAGACTTGTCACTAAAGATTGTCAAAAGACAGGCTTGTTACACCTCTTTTGTGTATATGCCCCTCAACTCCACCAGGCCTGCAGATGACAAGGTAGCCCGTTTCTCAGGGTCCCAGCGTCACCCACTCTGCAGTTTCAGCTCAGAGTCCAAGTATGCTGCGCATACTGTGGCAGCTGGGGGAGGGGAAGAGGAGGAGGGACAGAGAGAGAGAGAGAGAGAGAGAGAGAGAGAGAGAGAGAAAGAGAGAGATGTTTGCTTGTTTTTAAGTTCCAGCAGTATATGTGATTGTTTAAAAGCCTTTTTTGTTTTCTAAGTTTTCTTTTTAGGACTAAGGTCCAGATAGTCCCTCAGAACGCACGGCATCTAGAACCTCTGTCTTGTGGAGAAAATGACTCATTTTCATAAGAATTACGAAATAGACTTTGCCTTTATTTCCATCAAGACGAATGCCTTTTCTCTTGCTTGTTTCCCTAGGTCCTCGGGCGGGAAGTGTACACCTCCAATAACCAGCTGGGGGGCATCCAGATAATGCACAACAATGGGGTGACTCACAGTGCTGTTTGTGATGACTTTGAAGGGGTTTTCACCATCCTGCACTGGCTGTCTTACATGCCTAAGGTGAGCCTTTCCTTCCAGGCACCAAGAAAGCCCCACAGCCCACAGGACCCGGCCTTTCTCCACTGCCTACTGCCTCTGCCCTTGAGACCTTATGGCGCAGGAATTCTATATGAAATATTCCTCTGAAAGCCGTCGATTTCTTTTTTTTTTTTCTTAAAGCCATCTTTTGCCTCCTCCCTTTAAAATGCCTTTGAATTTCATTGGTTAGGCCCCTTTCTGATATTTTCCAGCCACAGAACCCCTCATGGCCTATCTGAGTTCAGATCCCAGCACATTAAGGCTTTCTGGTCGTTGTGGGTTTTCTCCTCTGTAATAAGTAGCCTTCCATCGCTCTGGGGAGCTTTGCAGAAAGCCTGGGCATGCTGAAATCGGGTCAGAATGCACCACTCTGTGCCAGGCTCTTACATGAGATCTGAGACTTGTGCATGTTCCTCAGGGCTTGGCACACAATTGGGATGCTTCCAGCTGATGACTGGGACTGACGGGCGGGCGGGCATCATTCTCTATGTGGGCCCTGCTGGTTTTGTAACGACTGTTGCTTAGCTGGAATGTAGGACCGTTGTTTACTGATGCCTGCCCTCTTTCCCTCCCAATCTCCTTTCAGAGCGTGAACAGTTCAGTTCCTCTCCTGAGCTCCAAGGATCCTATAGATAGAATCATCGAGTTTGTTCCCACCAAGGCCCCATATGATCCTCGATGGATGCTTGCAGGCCGTCCTCACCCAAGTATGTATATGTTTGAGGATCCTGTGGTAGCCTGGCCCTCAAGCTTTCAGTCTGTTTTTCAGTCACTGACCAATTCCTGCACAATAGCATGTGACACAGAAAACAGCGGCTAAAGTACCTGGAAATGAGAAAACGCTGAAAAATACTCTCTGAAGAAAAAAGATGGAAAATCCTTCAAGAACAAGTGAAAAACAATGAGATGAGATTTACAAATCAGCCATTGAGTCATAAGCAGAGTAGTCACTAATGTATTTCTTCTGTTTATTTTGCTAGTAAAGCACTTATTATTGAATGGGTTCAAAGACTTTAAAACAGTTCAATACAAGCCTTAAAGTCATAGAACTATAGGACCCGAGTCGTCAACCATCTAGTTTCTCCAAACAGAGATTAATCAGATCAGTCTTAGAGAAGGTCTTTGAGAACCCCTCAACAGAGTGTGACTACGCTTTGCTCAGCGAGCTGTTGCTGAGCACCCACCCTGCAATATGCCCTTCTTATACTGGTAATAGTACTGGTAACAGTATTGGCACTTGCTTTAATTGCATTAACATCAGGTTACTTTGGGAGATTTGTTTTTTCATGAAGAGACTGGCCAGAACTTTTAATTTTATAAACAGATAGAGCAAGAACAAGCCCTCCCTCCATGTTTACCTGATGTATCCCTCTGTCTTGGGGCTGATTTTACCTACCTTTAAAAACAAAAACAAAACAAAACAAAAAAGAGGTAGCTCCACATAAGGCAAATGTACATTCTTGTTTGTTGGTCCATTTAGCTGTTTTCACAAACCTTGCTTATCAGGAGGCTCTTTTGTAAAGCCCCAAATCCCCCTGCTACATTTTGAATCTTATTTTTTCAGGTTTTGTTTTTGTTTTTGTTTTTGAGAAAGTGTTTGTTCTTTTTTGCATGTTTATTGCAACTACTTCAAAGAAAGGCTATATTTTAAAGACGAATGGAATGCAGAAGATAATTAAATTTAAGAGTCAGTGTGATTTTGTTGAAAGAGAAAGAGGTCTTCATAAGGAAGACTTACACCTTTGTGGGCACCCACTGTCGGCCAGGTAGAACCGTAAAGCACTTCCATATACAGTATCTTATTTGGGCTTACTACCTCTCAGAGATACAAAGGGATCACCGTTTTACAAGCTGAGAGAAGTTAAGTGATTTGTGCAAGGTCACACAGCTACTACTTAGGAGCTGGGGCTTAATCTGAAGCCTCACCATAGATAGTGTAGAAAAATCACCAGAGGAAGGTTGATTTTAATTTAAAATTTTACCTGTTGTCTTCAGTGCCTTTTCTTGTTAATCTTAATAAAACTAAATAGTTTTTCTTCCAAAGCCAGGAGAATCACCATAGTAATCTTCTCTCTACCCCTCTTTTTATACCATTATTATGATAAGAACTATGAGCCTGAGATAAAATTCAGGACTTTTCTGGGACAATTCAGAACAAGATTCAACGAGTATTCCAGGAATTATGGAGAGCCATTTTAGCTGGCTTCTAAGTTTTACGTCTGAACTGAACATGACCTGCTCTTTGGAAGCTGTAATACCCCACCTGCAATAACCCTAGCCCACCAGTGACTCTCTCCCCCCACCAAATTAACATAAAAGGCAGGAGGGTTTTTAAAGAAGAAAACATTTCCATTTTGAAATGAATTATGTAGTTTAAGCCATTGTTATTGAAGTGAGAATCATAAAATGATCTAAGCACATAAGTTAAAATTTCAGTATCCTCATGTGCTCAGAAGTTTGGTTTAGAACCATCATCGACATTTGAGCCCTCTTTCATGGGGTTAACAGGTGTGTGTGTGTGTGTGTGTGTGTGTGTGTGTGTGTGTGTGTGTAAGTGGGTATTAGCTTGGCCATTATTAATGAGATCTACAGAATAAAATGGAATTTGTGATAAACTAAGTTTTCTGTTTTTTGGATAATATTTTTTCATCGACTCCCTAGTAATTCATCCTGCTGTCTATGTGCCGCTAACACTCGCGCCCAAATCGAGTGACTTCAGATTTTAATTTAGTGGAAACGTTAAAGAAAGCAGATGATTCCCTGTGATAAGTTAAAGCAGATATCTTCTAGGTGAAAAGTTAAAGTCATTTATTAGAGGAGATAGTGCTGTGATATTCTTCAAACTGACGCCCAACACGAGACCAGAATCTAAACGATCGGCTTTGGGCTCACGATAGAGAGATAATTTTGAAATGGATGATCACATTTTACACTGGGGCCATAGAGGCAAGGAATGTAGAACACAGTAATTACAAGTTTAGTCTTGATAAAACACTCTCCATCCTGTTTAAGTCAGCAGAGGTTAGCTTGCTCGGATCTCCACTTTTAATTGGTTTTGGACTTGGGTTTTTAGGGGGCGGAGGGCCATGTTCAAATTAGAAGAATTACTGAGAAGCTATGAGCTCAGAGGGCAAGCTAGGAAACAGTTATTTACAGAAGCTTTTATGGGGCCTTGGTCAAACATGGGTACCTATGGAACAAAAGTTTATTTTCTTAAACTAAGATGTTGCAAGTTATGTGTGTTGCAAGTGAAGGAGATTCTGTATGCAAGGGAGTTAACCTTGACATGAAGTGTGCGCATTTTAACCATTATATTTTCACTCTGTCAATAGTATGTGGGGATGGCCCTTTCTTATAAAAAGATTATACTTTGTCAGCTGTAAATAAAGTGGATTTATATCTTGTTGCTTTTGTAGCAGGAAAAAGCTGAGTCCATTTTCCTTCCCCCAAATTTGGGTCTTTGTCTGATCATTAATACTTATCATTTGGCTGTCTTCAGCTTTCCATTAAAAGAAAGTCAGTGGAGTCAAACAAAATTGTAAGCTAAGTTTTAAAATAGAAATAGACATTTTGAAAACATCTTTAATGACTTGGCTGCCTTTTGACAAATGTTTGTGGTGTTTTGAAAAAAAGCCAAGTTATTTATTTTAAAGCAATGCAAACTCTGCTAGCTGAACCCCATCGTTTAACAATAAATGATGCTTTGGCTGATAAATGGATCTTTTTATGCGGCCCAGCAAATGAAATAGGAGATGATGTCTGAAGGCAGATGAACATTCCACTGTCTAATGCATCCATCTATTATAACATGGTTAAAAATGCCCCAAAATAATCCCCCAAATCCAACCTTAAATTTGCCAGTTCCAGTGCCTGTTCAATGGATTGACTGTCTTTATTCTCTGTTTTCTTTCTTTTCCTGCTGTAGCCCAGAAAGGTCAGTGGTTGAGTGGATTTTTTGACTATGGGTCTTTCTCAGAAATCATGCAACCCTGGGCACAGACTGTGGTGGTTGGCAGAGCCAGGTAAGAGCTCTTTTGTTCTGGAAGCTCTTTTTCCTCCCAACTCAAAACAAGAAGGGAAAGGGCCATGATTATGGAGGTTCTTACCAATACTGTTCTCTTTGTCTAAACTTTCTAAGAGTTTTGGATTATAGCCATGCCCAGGGAACCTTAACAGGAGTGCTGGTTCCCAGTAGCCATTTAGTGTGTCACTCCAATGATGCGTTGAATCCAAAGTCTGGTTTTGACAACATTTCCTCTTTATAATGCTGAAAGAAAAACTCTTTGGGGGCTGTAGATAGCCATAGCCCACCCGTGACCTTCCCTCCCCCCAAAGATCTTTCAGGAGTAGGTAACAAGTGAATCAGCCGTATCTACTTCTCTATGTAACTTGAAAGACGTTCGTGCCTTCATGGCATCGAGATTATTTAAGTAACAAATGCACTATCTTGGCTTATCACCACATTTGAATTGCAAAAAAACAGTTTACCTGAAATAGGAGTAAAATACACTGGAATAGGTTGCTGGGATACCTGTATTTTGTAAGTGGGAAATTGAAGTTTCTATTAAATTTTAATACCCACTCTAAGAAGTGCTTCACTCAACAGCAAGCTCTGCTCGAAATAATCTGTAGCGCTCGCCGTAACGAGCACCTGCCAGGGCCGATCCTAATCTCATTCTGCACTGCAGAGACATGCTGCCCTAGGGACCCACATCTGGAGCTCGCCTTCCTCTCGGGGGCAATCAGTTTTCCTTATCTTGGTGAAAAGTGGCACCTGCTCAAGATTCTCAAACATGCCACGTTGGGTTGAGATTTAGATTCTAGCCTTGAAAATAATTCTAGGCTTTGTGGTTCTCTGAGTGCAGCAGGTCAGCACGCCTCACGCTGCCAGTGACAAGGAGCCATCAGATGGCAAATCCCACAGATAGGCGCTTCCGCTGTGACTCTGAATACGAGTCAGGCCTGGAGTCAGCCCGCAGAGACTAGCTCCCGTGTCCTCTTGCATCTCAGGTCCTCCACCTCACCCCAGGCTTCGGGGTCTGAGAATTATTATCTGTGCCTGGTGAAATTCCCACTGGGGAGGTGGAGATGGGGGGCGCACTAGAGAGAGAGCCCTCCTACCCAGGACCCATCGGACCAACTTTTTGAAAATTTGTCTTATCTAGTCTGCTTCAGTTTTCCTGTCTATAAAAAAACATGACAGATTTTAAGCCTCCAAAAGCCAAACCTTTGTTAAGGTCTTTAAGATCCTCCCATGGGAACAAAGAGAATAATGCCTCACACTTACGATTGGGAGAATCAGAATTGTCTGCCAGCAAGATCAGTCAAGCTTGGCTTTGGTTAGCTCTGCCATTGTTTATTGCGACACTCACTCTGACTTCTCCCTTTCTTTCCATCGGATGAGTTCTGGGCTTCTTACTCCAAACACATACACATGCTCACAACTATATAAAACACAAATGGAGCTAGCTTCTTTCAAAAGCAATGGCATTTCGAGAAATAAATATAAATGTATTCTTCTGGGATTGTTACTGTAAGTGCTGCCAAAACTCATCTTTGGTATGTATGTTTGGAATATGTGTGCTATTGGCTGTAAATTGTCTTTTATTATTCCGTGGCACCTTGTCCAGGGACACACTATAAAACAAGATGTAGCATCTTCAAGTGCTAGCCTGATAAAATTTATATGAAGTATAATAGAAAACAGAAGTTGTTCTGAGCTGTTTTCAAGTTCAATAAATAACTGTAATACTCGGATAAAGATGTTCTTTATTAGGTCACATGGGCCCTAATATATAAGTTATAAGTTACCGATTTAGGGTGGCTTTTGCAATTACAAGTTTCCAGTTGGATTGTTAATCATTGTGAAGAGAAATATTTCTAAACCCTCCTGTGTACCTCCTGCTCATTGTCTGGTTGTCTAGAGGGCTTTTGATTCTGATTCAGTGCAGGCAAGTGACAAGGGGGTGGGTGGTCCCCACTCAGGCCCCTATCAGGCCTCTTATATGACAAGAATCCATTTCCAGTAGCCAGTGTAACACCCAAAGACCATCCTTCATGGAAAAGTTTGTTATGGAGATGCTATGGAGGAATGAGAGACTATAACCCATCCGAGCCCCAACCCCAAGGAATGCAGCTGAGAAACTAAAGATTGAATTACATTTTCCAGAGTAGGGACTCACTTTGCACCTGTACCTTACAGCACCGTCTCCCTTACCCTCTCCCCGCTTCTCTCTCTCTCTCTCTCTCTCTCTGATTTTTACTAGGAAATCTTTATGAAGACCAAGTTGGGAGGGTTTCATGGAGTATAGTTGCAGAGGCTTTGAGTTCCTGAACAGTTTTTTAAATTAACATAAGTTGGAGATTAAATATGTACTTCTAATACAGATCACCTATTTCACCAAGATGACTACTGAAAGTTATCCCCATCCTGTTGCTCTTTTCCAATGAAAGAGAAGGTTAAGGGCTTGTTTAATCACCTCCCTACACTTGGCACATATTTTTCATCATCCCCATAACATACCTATACACTCCTCATCTCCACGCCCAATGGTAAGACCTATTCCCTCATATGTTATTTGGAACTATGTTTTTATACTCCACAGAAAGCTACAGCTCTATTCCAGCAATGCCCACATTCATTAAAACAGTTCCTGAAAGTTTCAGGTTCCTACTACCTTTCAAACCATTTCCCTCCATCTTCACCAAAGAGATGTTTTATGCAGAACTGAGATATTTCATTTGGCAACCACAAAAATGTGTGTGCAGGCACACATGTGTATGCTAAGCTGTTGAGTCTAAATGCAGAGGCTCCCCTACTATAACCCTTGGCTTGAATTTATCTTGTGGTGGGAAATTGGAGTGATTCTAAAGGTAGTTTCTCACCATATTTAAAAAAACTTACCATACGCACCAAATCTAGAGAGCCTTGCGTTTTACCTCTAGAAGAGTCAGATTTCCCCCTGCTGTCTGTATTTGTTTGTAGTTTTTTCCCCCAGCGTTTTGATGTGGGATTGGAAAATAAATGGCTGGCTGTCATGTTGACATCCACTGGGTTCTTATGTGGCTCATTTTTTATCAGGCTAGGAGGAATACCTGTGGGAGTAGTGGCTGTAGAAACCCGAACGGTAGAACTAAGTATCCCAGCTGATCCTGCAAACCTGGATTCTGAAGCCAAGGTAGGTCATCCCAAATTCCCTGTACACCTGTGCTTGGAGCTGTGTGTCACTTCTGCAGAGACTATGGATATATTGGGAGCACTGCTAACCACCAATTTCAGAGGGAAGGGCAGTCAGCAGTCTTGAGTGATTTCAGACCATCATATGCTCACTTTTAAAGTGACTCTAAATGGACTACAAGCTAAATTCTGCCTGAAACATTAAATAGGCCTTTACAGTTGTCTTGTGGGTACTAGAAAACAGTCTGCTTGTGTTGGGGATGTGGTCTTGCAGAAAGGCAGCAGAAACAGCGCACAAGACTCTGTGGTCCCAGATTCTCTGAGGACATACACGGAAGAGCTACCACTAGAATTCACAATGAAGTCTGTCAAAATGGGAACACCACAGCCCATCTTTTTTAAAAGGATGGATAACATTTTCACATGCTAACAAAATCCAGAAAATGAGAGGTGGGGGAGACCAGGCAGGAGGTTATTCACAAGGTCACATCAGGGGCCTGTCTATTAACCACAGAACAGAAAAAGCCGCGCCAAGCATCGAGGGGAGAGGACCTGGAGTCCGTGAACAATTGGCTGCTTTGAGGAGGGGTGTAGATGAGTCACATGAAATGGCCCTCGGCAGGCCTAGAACAAGGGTCCTGGGGCTGCACTCTCCCATTGGAAGTGGAAGGTTTCCTTCTTTTGACTAAAGAGTGGCAGTGTGATCAGTACTTAAAAAGAGGTGTGTTTTAAAAAGTCAAAGATCAAGGATCTTTTTTTCTTTTTACTTCTAATAACATCTTCAGGATGAACAACCGTTTTTGTTTGTTTAGTTTGATACTGAGTTTTTAAATCAGTCAAACCTCATTCACCTTGGAGAGAGTCCCCCTCAAACTGTGTTGTTAACTGTGTCTTCCTCTTTCATTTCCCCCAATAGATCATCCAGCAGGCTGGCCAGGTTTGGTTCCCAGACTCTGCATTTAAGACCTATCAGGCCATCAAGGACTTCAACCGGGAAGGGCTGCCTCTGATGGTCTTTGCTAACTGGAGAGGCTTCTCTGGTGGCATGAAAGGTGATTGGCTGGCTGTGGCCTGGAGGGGCAGAACCGATTCCCCTGTTCCCTGCAGGGGGGACGGAGGGCTTCTACTGGGCAGAGCCCATGGGTGTCCACTCCCCTAGGCATTTTGGGGATTATGCTCCCTCTGAGATAGCTTCTGAGCTGCAACCTGAATGGGAAAATTCAATATGGTTTACGATTCCATACAAACTATCAGAACAACCTACTGGTGTTATCCAGGTGGACTGCTGTTCTGGACTAGCTTCCCCAGGTGCGTGATGGTCCTGGGAAAGCACGGTCATGCTAGTCTCTGACCCTCTTTTCTGGGCATACTTTTTGTTGCTGCTACTCTTTAAAACTCTATAATGATCAAGACAGATACTGAAATTAGCCTTTACCAGAAGAAAACAAACACATTCTATACCAGAGGCTGTTCTTTGCGGTAATTTGTGATATGTTTTATTATTATCCAACAACAGCCCTGGGCCTGTGGCTCCAGCATATTAGCCTTTATTACAAAGGCCCTGCTCTGTGCCGTGGGAATTACTTAGTGATTAAGCAGTGGTATCACCATTTACTGGGAATCCTCTGTGTGCAGAGCCACTGTGGACAGCTCAGGGAATACCAGAGGAAACACACTCTGCCTCTTAGAGTAACGAAGCTCTCTCCAGTGGCCAGAGATTCATGGCCAAGCGAGGCCAGCAACTACGTACCAGGAGGGGATGACTATGCTGATGAGTGTCAACTTCATTCCCGGGGGGCAGAGCTCAGGGCTCTGAAGTAGTAGAATGGGTTAGAGGAATGGAAGGAGGGAGGAGTTGATGCTGCTGGAATAAATAGAGTGATCAGAGATAGGGGCATATGACATGTGAAAGAATGAACTCGCACTAGGACGCCCAGAAACCCTTGGGGCAGGAGCACCTCTAGCTCTGAGGGAAGACACTGGAGAAGTTTCCCTTTTATAGATTATCAGCTATGTGTGGAGAGAGATTAGAGTCTTGTTTTAACAACTGTCCCTTATCTGGCCAGGAACAGCCTTGTATGGCCGGGCTGGCCCTCCTGGCAAAATGTAGAAGACAAGGGTGACGTTTTTGCCTTTTTAGTTGAAAAATTCATCTTTGCCCATATTGGCTGGAGAACTACCACATTTTATACTTTTCTTGGGGAACACTGGACTACACATGTAAATTGACATCTGTATACTTTCTTAGATGATCAAGGTGAATAGTTTTTGGGCTAAGATAATAAATCAGTGGAAATGCCATGAGATATTGAGAGTATAGGTTAAACAAGTGAATTCTACACATTTTTATTGAGTTCCTATGTGCAAGGAATTATGCTACGTACTGCAGACAAAACAGAAACAAGTCAGAAACAGACATTGCCTCAAGGAGTCAAGAAAAATGTCTTAGGAAGGATGATAAAGCCATAATGTATAAAGTATAAATAACATACCACAGTGTTCAAAAGAGGATGATACTATATTAAATTTGGGGGAGGGAAGCTTGAAACCCCTTTCATTTATGTATATGAGATTCATTTAGCATCAGATTTTGCTTGATCCCAAATTCCTTGACTGTAAGATTTACGAGAGAAAGTTAAGACTTACGAGAGAATGCAGTGCTATTACTCCTTAGTTACATCTCTTCCGGGTCCACTGAGAATTCACCGTTCCTGACATTACTTAGGAGCAAGTCAGCCTGGCTATTTTGTCTAACGAGTTCAGAGTTCAGAAGTTTGCCATGTGCCTCTTGTGGGAAAAGCTTCAATTCTGCTGCATGTTTTGGCTCAGGCCCAGGTTGGCTGCTCGCCCTGTACCAATAAGAACAACAACAATTAAGATTCATTGAGCTCTTTTCACCGGAAACTGTACTAACCATTTTACATGCATTATCTTACATAATCACCACAACAAGCACCTCTGAGGGGTAGGTTATATTATTATCTACAATTTACATAAATTGAGACTTAGGTTAAGTAAATTTCCCAAGATCATTTAGCTAAAAATGACAGATTTGGGAGAGGAATACAGATCTGTCTGACTTCCTATAGTACCATTGGCTGGTTTTTTTAGAGCCTAAGACCAGACGAGATCTACCAGAATATATCTAGGCTCCTGAGAAAGTTATTATTAACGTACCTCCCTCCCCTCTACTTTGGGGTCGTCCTTGGTTATTGTGACAAGAAACGTCAAGAGCTCAGAAATAAGTTATGTTTCTTTATTGTGGTAAAACACACATCACAATGTTTACCATTTTAACCTTGTGTAAGTGTACAATTCAGTGGCATTAAATACATTCACAATGTTGTATAACCATCACCTCTATATATACTCAACTTTTTCATCATCCACAACATAAAATCTGTGCCCATTAAACAATAACCTCCTCCCCGCTTTCTCCTGCTCAAAAATTAGGTATTGGCCTGATATAGACCAGGGTCAGTCTTGTCTTCTGAATTTTGGTGCTGCTGTATCCGTTTACACGTCACTTAAGACAGAAAAAGCTTTGGGGAAGATAGAGATTGGTGTAAAAGTAGGAGAGGGAGAACACCGCCTTCATAGTTACATACAGGCCAGGATGTTTTCTACATATTATCTCATGTAAAGGGACCTAAGCTGAGAGTCATCCCATATCCCTCGGGGAGATGTTTGCAGTTTTGGTTTCAATACTGGCTGGGGATTATGCAGGGAGGGAAAATAAACAATTATGCCATCCCTCAGTGCACACAAACACACAGCCAGGAGCCGACTGCACTGTGGGTAAAATGACTCCAAAATTGTGTGTAATGAGTAGGAAAAGATTAGAGACAGCTCTTGCTATGCTGAAAATTGACATTAGTGGAGGGAAAAAAAAAAAACTCTTTACTAGTCGGCCTAGGAGGTCTAATTCGAGCAGTAAAAAATATAAATAAATAAATAAAAGCATGTCAAGATGGTATTGGTGCTTTTTTTCCAATGAGCTCTATCTGGCCGGAAGGCTATTCAGCATAATGCAAAATTAAATTATAAAAACTGGCTGAATATTTAGATGGAAGAGCCATTTGGAAGCAGTTTATTTAGACGAACCGGCAATGACCCACAACAGGGAGACATCAAGCGTGAAATTTACTAGAAATTAGCACCAGGGTCCCAGCCTCAGCATGAATAGCTTGATAGGATGCAAATCCCAGTGATATTAAGCCGCCTCACTGCTAGTGCTACAGGGTCACTCTCAGTTGGCTTTTCATGTTATACTTATTATTTTTTCCTGGGACAGGTTATAAATAACAATAAAAAAACATTTATTGAAAACTTTTAACTGGAATGAAAGTCTATTCTAAAGTCTCCAATGACTTGGATGTTGAAATACAGTGTCAGCCAGTCATAATGAACTCATGAGAGATATTATGTTTATGCAGCTTACCTAGGCCCAGTGTTTACCTTCAGCTTCTAACAGATCATCTCGCCCCAAGCCAATGTGATGTGTTCCAGTTTTGAGGGAGAGGGGCACTGTGGAAACACCTTACCCCCCTGCTCACTTGTTTGGTACATGTGGCGGCCACAGTTTATCCATATTGTATAACAATGAAGGCCCTGGGCAGGGTTGGTGTCTGGGTGCTGAGAACAGACTGGAAAGGCTGTGTGATCGCCGTTCATGCAGTTGCTCTTTGCTCAGAATGCTTAGGAAACTCCAAGCTCCCGCCTCTCCATTGAAGAACCTATCAGTATTTTCCATTCCCAGTTGCATTTCTCCTGGCCTGAGAATTGGCAGCATATGCATAGCTTTAAAATTCCCCGGACTGATGTCTAGCCCGAACCCTTGGGAATAGCGCCTCCCCTGCTATTTTTGGCTGTGCTTTTTTTCCTGTCTCTTAAATTTGGATTTCAGACAAATGTGTGTCAGGTTGTTGCCAAGTACTTCAGCCCGCCTTTCAAAATGTGTCGTTTGGGGCCGCAAGTTCAGTGTGAGCATGTTGTTTGTAGAGTTTGTTTGAGTATTTATGTTTTAATAGGCTTTTTTGCTTTTGGGGTGTTTCGATGGTTGGATTGTGGGTCTGTTGGTGTTCCAAGTTAGATGGAGGCATTATTTTCAGTCCCCAGCCTGTCAGCTTTAATGAACCTTGATGCTCCTTTTCTACTTGGTCTTGCGACCTGAAGATAATTGTTTGGCAGTCAGCTCCAAGCAGGTAGTGTCGTCAGTATAATTTCTGACATTTCTGACCACACAAAAAATCCAGGCAAATTTTAGAAATGTTCAGACGTTTATTCAAGTCTCTTTTCTGGTTTCTGTTTTACTCAGCCACCGTATCAGATGCCGGAAGGCCGAGCACCTCATGAGCTTTCCTTGCAATAAGAATGAGGTGGTAGAATGTGGACCTTCAAGCCCAAAAGAGCTGTGTTCAAGTCTTCTTTCTGCCACTTAGTCACTTATTTAAGCCTGAGTTTACTCACCTGTAACTTGGACATAAAAACCAGATGATTTAATGATTTGTGTGTGTGTGTGTGTGTGTGTGTGTGTGTGTGTGTGTGTGTGTGTGAAAACATGCTCCTTGGTATGCAGTAAACCAGCCATGATGATAAAAAAGAGGGACCAAGGTCCATTTTATAAAAATGAAAACTGCACACGCACCCAACTTCATCCAAAACTATTTGCATATACTGTGAAATCAAGTTGTTGTTTTTTTAATTAAATAAATGAAAGTACATTTTAAAGTCCCCCTTTCTTTTGGGGGACCTGAGTCTATTCATCGTAGATGGTACGACAGATTTTGGCATAGATATGTCTTTAACAAACAGGAGTAAAGAGGCTGGAAACTTTCCCTTTATTTGCCTCTAACATACTCTTTTCTTTTTCCCGTAGGATGACTTTTTTCCAGCTGTTTTCTGTTGTTTTACCTCTTTTATCTATGCCTTCTGTTTCTTCTCTGTGCATGATACCGTTGAGGGCCACTCCTTTCTATTGTTCTGAGACTGTGCTCTTGGCAGCACTGAAAAATGTACTGCTAATTACACAATTATTTTATTATGTAGCACTGGTTGAAATATCCACTAAAGAATTAATTTAGTTAAAATAATTTGAACTGAGCAATTATTTTCATAACCACAGAATTAGCGTAAAGCGCTTAAAGTCCTTTATTCCCTGCTCTTCATACAGCAGTTGTGTAATTAGCAGTAAATTTTTTTGGTCTTTGCTTACCTCCCAAAGGAAGAAATGTCTTTGCTCTGATCATATATACAGAGTATATGACCATACACATTCCGCATAGAGTAGGGTGTTTTTCCTGAGGCAGCCTATGAATTTTTGGAATTTCTGAAGTCTTCACACATGAATCAGGTTGGGACCATGGAGAAAGGCATATGCCTTGCAGTGAACTGTGTTCACTCATGGTTTGTATACAGAGCCATTTTTACTTTGGAGAAGGTGGCAGTTTAATTTGCCAGTTACTACAATGAAAGCAATTTCTATTTGGTTTGCTCTTAACTTCCTGAAAAATGCTTCTTTGCTTTGGATTTCCAGAATTGATTTATTCCAAATTGAGATCCTCTCTTTGATAGGAAAATTTGAACTCTGTTGAACCTGTTATTTGGTGTTTAAAAAGGAGCCATGTGGTTCCAGTGAAGTACTCATTAAACATCTGAAATCATAAACCTAAAGCTTTAGCCATGTTTAGACTTTAGTGAGCTAGGAAATGGGAAGAAGTTCATAAATTGTTGGGAAATAAACAACGGATTCTACTTTCACTTTATTTATGTGCCAGGGGTCCCTTTTCTTCAGGCCGCTCCAGGCTTTGGGGGACATTACAAAGTGCACTCGTTAGCAAAATAAAGAGGAGGCTCCTCTTTTTTATGTGGCTGTGTGACATTTCCAATAAGTACATATGCATTTAAGTTTTTTCTCTCACTGAAACCCTGATAAAAATGCAACTGTTAAGGAATTAATTTGTTTTTCTTCCTCGTTGTGTCCTTTCCAAGGGATGTCTGTGCGCCTTCATTCAGTCAGCAAACACTTGTGTTCCAGGCACTGGACAGGATGCTGGGAATGCAAAGATGAAAGATGCCGTTTTTTGAAGGATCCATTTCCATTAGCTGCACATATTAAGAGCTTATCACATGCTAAGTATCATGAGAAGAATTGAAAAGAGCTTGAATAGTTTCTTCCTTCAGAAAACTTAATGTAGTGAGAGAGATCACATATTGACATGAAAAACACTCCACGTTTGGAGAGCAGGTGTGAATTAATGTGATGAAACCTGAGTACAGGAATTCAGGGAGGATGTAAAATGGATGTGCCATCCATAGGGCCTGCACACCGAATCCTGTGGAAGGCAGTGCACTTCTGTTGTGCTTTTGAAGATCCCCTGGCATCTCGAACAGAATCCACGTGGAAATCCCAATCCCTTTCGTCTTCAGGGTGGCCAGACAGGACCTGGAGTGGCTGAATCCCCAGACCTGGCACCTCCGGCCACTTCATGAAGGCTCAGTGTGCCATATAAAGAAATACTCTTTATTTACTATGTGTGCCATGATGTGAACAGTGTTTGGAAGTGCTGTTTCGTGATTGCTGATTTGTCTCCGTCTCTCTAGATATGTACGACCAGGTGCTGAAGTTCGGTGCTTACATCGTGGACGGCTTACGGGAATGCTCTCAGCCTGTGCTGGTTTATATTCCTCCCCAGGCCGAGCTTCGGGGTGGCTCCTGGGTCGTGATTGACCCCACCATCAACCCCCGGCACATGGAGATGTATGCTGACCGAGAAAGCAGGTAGCGCGCCTTCCTTATTTCCATCCACTGCCTCTAGGGAGCCTCTAGCTCTTGGTTTCCTCCTGGAGAACATTATAACCAAGAGAGCTTTATTTGAATCTGTTCATTCCCAGAGGGCTCCAAGGTCAGAAAAGCAGACTTTCTAAATAGTGTCCGCTGGTGTAAGAAGGAAACCAGGCTGGAGTCAGGCTCTCTCGGTGTGACCCCCCGCCTCAGGTTCTTTACCACAAAGTCCTCTACTCCACACACCCCCAAACTCAGAGAGATTCTCTCTTCCTATTTGTTTTCAGATGTCTATTCACTGTCTCTCTCAGGTACGTGGCAAAGGGAACATAAAGCGAATTCGAATGGAAGGACTGAATTGTTAGTCTGAAGCTCTGAGGTCTTAACCCAGCTCTGCCACTGAGTAGTGAGGTGCTGGGAGCAGTCCTTACTCTCCCCAGGCTTCTTCTCCTTGTGTACAGAACAAGCTGGGTGCTCTCTGCTGTGCACCCCAGCACCCACATCCTGTGATTCCAAACCAAAACTTCTCCCTCCGAGTCCAGTGTCTCATCCAGACATTCTCGGAGGCTTGGAGAGCACCCACAGAACTGCAGGAGAAAAACCGCAGGCTTTTGTTGGGAGGTGACACCTGAAAATTCTTAAGTAAAAAAGATGAAATCTAGCTTCCTTTCAGAATCTGTTTTCAACCCTTTCCAAAGTAGGTAAACTTTACATCGTATTTCCTTGACATTTTCCATGCCAATTCCTACAGCCTGTCGTTTTATTACAGCGCCTGTATTTCTCTTTTCCAAAAAATTTCAGCTTTGTACTTCAAAAGCTGCTTGTCAAATCACTAGGCTTACGTTCTACACTAAAGAATTTATTTTATTTTATTTTAATTTTCCAAAGCCATTTTACTAAAAGAGCAATTTGCTAAATCTTTAAGGATTTTTTAAAAGTTTAACTGCATCAACACCATCCCTGACCTTGCCCTGGCATTTACATTCTCCTGCCTCTTGATTTCGTAGAGGGACGGATGACATCATACAAAACACAGCGTTTTATAGTATTCTATACAGTTTTCCCTGCACTTACCCTACCTTTTTTTTTTTTTAGTTTCCAGTGTACAAAATAAGTAATAGTTAGACATTTCACCCGTCACAAAGTGATAACCCCTCCCCCAATCAGTTGCCCCTCTGACATCATATATATCTTAAAGTCCTAACCTAGCCCCTGATTTGATACCAGATCAGAGACAATTTCTCTGCAGACTTGGGAACAACACTGGTTTCAACCCCACCTCTGTCACTTGTTAGACATGGACAAAAAGTCTCTTAACTCCCCGTACCTTCATTTGCTTATCTGTAAAATGGGGATACTAGTACCTTAGCTCATCGTGGATGTATTGGGTTGTCGGAAAAGTCATGACGCATTTTTGCAACGAAAAACAGAGAAAAAATACGGCATGACTTTTCCGACAACCCAATAGGCTGGGCATAGGGTTGTTGTGAAGATTTCTATGTGAGTACTTAGAACAGTGCCATGCACATAGTAGCATTAGCTGTAACTTTTTTTTTTTTTAATGTAAACGTTTATAGAAAAGAAAGGTGTTTAGGGTAAGTTCCAAATAGAACGCCATTAGTATGCATTAGAAGTAACCCGAGACCCCTCGCTGGGTCGTTTCCGTAGCAGTAGGCAGAACATCACTGCTTGGCCCGGCCGTGTGTGTGCGTGTGTGCGTGTGTGTGTGTGTGCGCATGCGTGTGTGTGTGTGTGTGTGTGTGTGTGTGTGTGTGTGTGTGTGTTCTACCAGCAGGCTGACAGCCGTGTGTGGGACTGATGAGCGTCCACCCTTCACCGTACAGCTCAGGCGCTGGAGGTGGTTCTCCTGCCACTGTGCCCACATCATCTTTTTTTTTTTTCCTGGAAAATAATGTGACTCCTGTTACCTTTATCAGCTGTAGGTGGTAGAACCTGTATCCTTCTCCCTTTGAGATAGACGTAGACGGGTGTGGTAATGAGAACGCTTTTAATTGCTTTTTGCCAGGCCCTCCTCATACCTCACTTAGACACTTCTCTGGTGCCTGTTCCTCTCCCTGGGGTTACTTCTGTGAGCCATGGGTGGGCAAAACCATAATGAAGCTATTTCCTGGTCCACAAATTGTAACTGGCCTCATTCCGTTGTCTCCTGCCTTGAAAGTGCCTCTGTTTCTGTTTGGTTATGTTTTCTTTTTTCTCTCTTTGATCCAGGGGATCAATTCTGGAGCCGGAAGGGACAGTAGAAATCAAATTCCGCAAAAAGGATCTGGTGAAAACCATGCGTCGGGTGGACCCAGTCTATATCTACTTGGCTGAGCGATTGGGTATGTCTGCTTGTCCTCCTGGCAAATCAATGAGCCATTCAGCTGATTTGTAATGAGTGCATTCTAGGCCAGGGGAGGAGGCACTGAAGCATTTGATCAAATTCATGATAATCTTTATTTACTGTCCTCTGTATGGTAAAAACCCTGGTAGAATGAAATAGTGTGTGTAATAGGAGGGTAAGTGGGCCCTAAAAAAGCTAAAGTCACCCGATTTTTCTCCAATTTCCTTATAGTTCAAATAGCCCATTTTTCTAGGCTTGCGGATGTCCTTGTAACGAATAATTAGCCAGAAGTTGCTGTTGGGGGCAGGCTAATCAGGCAGAGAATATGCTAGACTTCAGTGTCGTCTTTGGACAAACCTGCCTCATTTCTGAGGGATGGGAGAGTCAGTGTCATGGGATGGGAAAGCTGGAGACCTTCCCAGGCGGTGCTCTGGGGCCACCCTGGGCTGGAGAAGTGGAAGGAAAGATTGTGCACTGTGCGCCTCTGAACAAGCTGTGGCAGCAACCGCGCCGGGAGCCTCGCACGTGATGCTTCCAGCCATGGCTCTGTTGCTCATTTGTTTCTGGAGCTTTTGGAAGGCGCTTGCAATCCGAACATAGGACAAAGCCATGGGAGTTCTGAGTTGAGTCCAGAGTCTGAATGAGTTTCAGATCCTTTCAAAACACTGATTTTTCTGCCCAGGTCTCCCATTGAGCCCCTTGCTGTGTCAGTAAAGATAATGGCTTGAGGTTCTTTTGTTTGTTGGTTTGTTTTGTTTTAGTTTTTTCTAAAACAGCACAGAGATTCTCTTTAAAAGGTAATGGAACTCAGTGAGTGGAAGGCGTAAAACAGAGAGATGCGAGCTCATTTATGTTCCAACTGGTAATTTAATTAATAAAGTACCCTTTGTGGACTCTTGATGTCTTCACCACCTAGAGACGCAAAAACTTCTGAAAGTGTATGTACATCCTGGCCTTTGGGGCCCTGAGCCAGGTTGCTTGCCATGCACAGCGACTTGGGTTTCAATAAGCCTGTTTGTGTCCCATTGTTTGCCAACAACCACCAATAACTCTAACCCACTGCAGCCTGATCCCTTTATGGGAAATGCACACATACAACAAGAAATTGGCGAAGTTGTTTCTAAAATCTATTGCCACCCAGAGTTGTCGAGGTGGTTTTTTTTTCTCTTTCTTCTCCAAACAGGATAATTACTTCTGACCAACCCCATACACTTTAATTAAAGTAACTGCAGCTCAAGAGCAAGTTACTCACAACTGTACACAGAGAAAGCTCTAAAAGCTTCAGCCACTGATAAGCATCTCACTTAGATGGCTCATAATTGCTCCCAGCATCCAGCGGATCGTTGCTGCTGTTTTTACCACTAATTCTGTACAAAGGCAGCAGTGCCACAATTGCAGGACACAGCAAATTGCATAATTTTCTTCTTCTTTTATTTTTTTTTCTTTTTTTCTTTTTTTCTTTTTTTTTTTTCCCCCTCTCTTTTGCTGGTTTTCTTTCTGGCCAATTTAAAATTTGTCAAAGTCGGTCTTCTTCTGGATCACTGCCCTTTGATATTTCGCGCACTCCATTTGCCACAAACAAGCCGCAGGGCCGCAGTTCATGCTGACTCTAGCAGAAGCAGAGAGAGCTCCATTTATCTTACACTGCCTGCTGAATTCCTACTCATTAACTGGGGGTTCACTGCCTCTTTTTAACCCCCCAATGGCTGTTATCATCCCTTCAGAGTAACTGGGTGGTAGGAAGAGGGATCCTCTCTGACATCTGTTTGCAGAATGGCTGGATGGTGAGGGTTGTGGGCCTAAAGCTTCTTTCTCCTGAAGGAACGTGAGCGCGCTCCCACCTTCACCCAGCACTTTTTAACTTTTGAGACACAGGACGGGGCGAGGGAGGCGATTCCCAAGTGATGGCCGTTTAATCATTTGTTACAAATCATCTCATTATCAATTTACTGTCCACATTGAAGAAAAGTGTATTTATTTAACCTTGACCAAAACGGCACTAAAGAAAGAATCCTTAGGCTGCTGGATGTGAAGCAGGCTCTGGCCTGAGGCTGCTTGGGAACATGAGAAGGGGACCTGGACTAAAAAGAACTATGTTCAAGGCTTGGTTATGTTGCTTGAAGGTGAATTGTTTAACGTCTCTGCACAGCGATGTTTTCATCCAGAAAGTGGGGATAACACCTCCACTTTAAGGATCAGATGAGTGTATATTGGCTTTCAGCCTGCAAAGCATTTTTCAAACATGGAGATCGGCATCATTTCCTTTCTGTCTTAATCACCAGAAGAAGCACATGGCGCTGTTTGGTATTAGGCATTCTCTGCGGCTTAGGTCCACTTTTGGAGCAAGTGGTGTAAGAACAGAAATAAGAAAAGAAGTGAGGGGTTTTTTGTTTGTTTGTTTTTTTAAAGAATTTTATTGGGAAACAGTGTGTTTTTCCAGGACCCATCAGCTCCAAGTCAAGTAGTTGTTTCAATCTAGTTGTGGAGGGCGCAGCTCAGTGGCCCATGTGGGGATCGAACCGGCAACCTTGGTAACCTTGGTGTTATGAGCACTACGCTCTAACCACCTGAGCTAACCGTCCGCCCCCAGAAGTGGTCTTGTCTCTCCAGCATTTGCAGTCTTTTAGAGAGACCATACACACCCAAGAGTATTGGTAACACAACAGAGAACAAGGATGTAACAGAAATGCCATGAACCCAGCTATTGGGGGGTTCACATTGGCTTTTGGTTCCTTTCTCAATGCCTAGAACCAATGATTGCCAAAATGCTTTTTTACAAAGTGGGTGAAAATGAACTCACTTTCTAGATTGGGAGATGGAGGCAAATAGAAGAATTAAATGCGTCATCCAAGATACAAAATTAATGTACGGTGGAGCCCAGGGTGACATTCTGGTTCCCCGTGTCCCACTTTTCTCAGGATTTCCTCAGTTTTTACCTCAGATGAATCCTGAGCCTGATCAAAATGAAACAAAAATTCTTTCCCTTTGTGATCTAAAGCCAGTTCCACTGAGGAAAAAAAAAAACCAGATTTAGGCGAAAGCCTCTAGGAGTGGATGTCATTTTGTGTTCCCAGCCTGCCCCCAGTTGGCCTCCGCACAGGGGAGCACGCTGCCAGGCCACTTAGACAAACCAGTGCACAACTGATTGACTGTGTTCAAAAACATAATTACTGTGTATACTCTAAGGACAATGAGTAATATTTAATTTCTGAACAGCTAACTTCATCTTTTTCAATGACCTTTTGTCATTTTCTATACTTAGTTTGGGTAGGAAGGTGGTGACACCAGTTTGCAGTTGTGCGATTATAACAGTGAGTCTGGAAATAGTACATACAACTGATTGCTGATAAAGGTAAAGGAGAGAATTCCCCCAGAAAGAAATGTGATGTAAACCCAGATACCAGAGTCTGGCATTGCTGGGCCAGTTCTGACCTTGGACTCTGAGAACTGGGGCTTGAGAGAGGCGGTGTGGAGAGGGTCAGCATCCTACCACTCGGCTGCCTTGAGGAAATCAAATTCCTTCCCTGGAAATGGAGCCCCGGCCCTTCAAGGCCTCCTTGTGTCTCCCTGAGGTCCTCTCCTGGATCCTGGCCCTCCTCCTGTGTTCAGAGGGAAATGACAAATCAATTTAGATAGAGAGAGAACTGTCCAGCTCAAGTATGAAGCAATTGTAAGCTCTCCACTGTCCCTCTCCCTCGGTACAAAGAGCACCTGGGCAGAGGAGCCGCTTAGTGGGGCTTTATTGTGCTCCAGACACATGTCTCAGCCGTGGCCCCACTCCCGGGCAGCCGGGCAGCCTGCCACGCAGCAACTTGGCTGTGGCCGCACGGCGTGCCCTGGGAGTGAAGGTCTGACAGGCAGAGGCAGCCCTCGCCTGGCCTCCCCAGCACCCAACACACCTTCTGGCCCAAGGCACTGGGTGCAGATGGAGTATTGTGGCTGCGGGTGAAGATAAATGTGTCGTACGTCTTCAGGAAGGCCCTCCTCCCAAGCCTTCTCTTTAGCAGCCAGGATACAGGAGAAGGACACTTCCTTGAGTTAAGTAAGGGGCTCTAGGAGCTGAGGTGCTTTTCTGACAGAGATGATCAAAGTATCCGAGCTGTGTGTTTTTCCATCTCTAGTGTCCATCTTCAAGATGTCTTAAGCTGAAAAGAGCCAGAGTTGCTTGTTTGAGGCAGAAAGCAGCACCCTTACTGGAAAGCTGAGACGAGGAAATAACGATGGTCCAGTATGTACCCATGCCAGGGGAGTAGCCTCTGGCCCTCTCAGCTGTCGTACATGGAGTGTCCTCAGTAGAACCGCGGCCACCCAACCGCTGGGCTCTGTGGTGGGAGGCGATGAGAAACCATGTAAGGTTTTCTATTGTGAAGGTAGAAATGATGGGATCATGGCTCCTCCCTTAAATTAACAGCAGCTTAAACCCCCACCTCATCACACTGATTGGAAGCTCTTCGGCTTAATACAATTTAGTGCAGTAGTAACAACACTTTCTGAAGAGGAGGAGTCTTTTGGGTCTGATCCGTTAATCTGATTATATTTTTATAAGCACCCAGGCTTACCTCTTCCCCAGGAAGCAGTGATTCACAGTTCGTTCAGGCCAGAGGGACCTGGCAGGGGTTTTGTTAGACTGAACCTAAGCTTCTGTCTGCCTGGAGGGTGTCACCAGGATGTGTCTGCGACATCCTGTTCCTCACTTGGTCCCAGCCGACCCAGATCCCTCCTGTTCCTGCACCAGCCAGGCTGGGGAGAGCAACTTAGGGGAAGAAAACAGTAAACACTTCAAGGCTTATCGCCACTTGAATTCAGAGAATTCTGTGCTGTTTCCTGACTCTCTTGTGGGGGACGTTTGCATGGGCGTACAGGAGACAGGGCTGCAGGGGGAATAAGACATTTTTTTATTCTTATTTGGAAGTCTCTGGGTTTCTTGTAATGATTTTTAAAAATATGAACAGCAGAGCACCAACACCATCCCGAGGAACCTTAGGGTTAAACATCCCT